TTAAGAGCATTTGCTGGACAATTACGAGAACCAGAGTTAAAATCCCAGAATTCAGACATCCTGGCATACTCGTAATTCCAATACCAAGAAGACCAGAGATAAGATTGCTGGGGCTTTTTGGATGTAAGTCCCAGGTTCAGGGAGAGAGACCCTGTTTCAAAGGAATAGGCAGAGAGTGATAGAGGAAGACATACAAAGCCTTCTTCTGACATTCCCCCCCTCGACAAGCACACAATATACGTTCACACAAATAGACACATATGCAGACCAATAAATAAGAGAAACAAAATTATAAAGACGGCTGGGGGTATCTATCTCAGTGACAAACTGCCTTGCTTATGCAAAGACCTCAGATAAAAAGAAAAGAAAAGAGGTGGAGTAAAATATAAGAACAATTCCACTGGAGTGGGGCCTGCTCTAATCAGGGCAGGACTACCAAGAAGGGCAGGACACTTACTTCCTAGGAAACTGGACCAACAGTGTGACCAACAGGCCCATCAGCAGATCAAAGAGCACAAGTTTGTACATTTCCTGGCCCAGCCGAGTCTCCCAGCACTGAAGAAGTAAGAAATTGGTAGATCAGACTCTCCTGCCTGGAGGCTCAAGCAATCGAGGCTCCAAATTGCCAGCAAACATCAGAACCCCGCTCATGAATTGTATGGGTGAGCACTTCACTGTTTTTGAGCATTCATGCCATGTGCAGCATCTTTCCAGCCAAGAAACGGTCCACCCAGTTCAATGATCCCTACCTGTAGGCCCAAGATCCCTACCTGTGTACCCACAGCATTCTCACCGGAATTTCTTTGTAATTGTAGCCACAAGCCTTGCATCCTTCTGCCTCCATGTTTCCCCCACACGTGATCTGATTCCACAGAGAGAACAGAAGGAACACCAGGGAGGCCAGACGCAAAAACACAGTCCTGCGGGATGAAGGGACCCACACTGATGTAGCGCCTCCTTCTGGATAAACACTCATGATCTCCTCCACTTTATGTTTTTCCTACTCACCCCCCTACCACCCTACACTTTTCACAGAGGAAGGAACTGAGTCTGAGAGTCAGGGTTTGAAACCAGAACTCCCTGGATTTCATATGGATGGGACTTCCCTGTCTCACTCGTGTGTGTGTGTGTGTGTGTGTGTGTGTGTAAATAAGTGGCAGATATGACATATGTGCCATAGTGCAGAGTGCAGTTGGTTCTCTCCTTTTGCCTTTACACTGGTTCTGGGAATGAACTCAGGTTACCAGACTTTCACAGTAAGCACCTTTATCCTCTGAGGCATCTCACCAGCTTACTTCTCTGTCTTATTTATAGAACCTTTCTCTGCCTG